TTGGCCAAGGATTTACTTTAGAACACTGACATTATTAACAACTGAAAAATATTTGGTAAGAAGAGAAAGAAAGAAGAAGAAGAAAAAAAAGACACACTCAGGTGCAGATAAAGATAGTTGCTTTCTTCTTCTTTCTTTCTCCTTTCTTCTTCTACTTTCTTAAACCAGCAGTAATAAATCCTGATTAAAAGCTAAAATACTAGGTACTTCACAGAGGGAGGTCTCCAGGAAATGGAATTTAGTTCATAACATAACCTTATAGCAGGGTTCCTGTAAAAAAACACATGTATTCACTCACTGGAGAGGCTTCATCCGCTCTAGCCCTGTGACTTGCCCCTTCCCTGCAGTCACTGCTTTTAGCATAGATATTTCAGTGGCTTAAGACAAAGTAATTGTAGGGTGGGATTGATGGAAATCGCTCCTCTCTCTTATGTTCACACATACACAGACACACTCCTAAAATGAATATCCCTAAATAACAATCACTGTATTTCATATTTGTAAAGCTAAACTTATTTAAATGATATACAAAAGGAAAATGTCACATGGTGACTTTTATTCTGGTACCTGTGCCACTGAGTGCTAATCTACCTTGAGTTGAATACGTAACATAATGAATATATTGAAAAGTCATTTGTATGACTGGATCTACTCAAACTAAATAAACTACCTGTTCAAATAAGTAGGTCCCATTACACTGCAGATGTTTGTTCTTCCAAAAGGGAATGTGGGGTCTTGCAAGGTGATAAAACATTTCTGTCCAAATTTTAGTTTTTGTCTAAACAAGCAATGCAAATGCTTTGTATAAATATGCACATCACACACTAAACACTCCTAAAAATGGCACTAATTTCGTGTGGCTGCAATACGTGTCCTTCATTAACATTCTCCCATTTCAGTCTTTGGTGTTGTTCTAGAAGATCATCAGTGTATAGAAACCAGAGAACAGAGCTCACGACACAGCGACCTGGCTCTACCTGCAAGGGCAGCTTGTGTCCTTGGTGCTTGCATCGCCTGCCCGCACACCTCCTACATCAAACCTTTCTCTAATGCACAAACTGAAAATGACACCTGCTAAGAGAACCAAATTGAACGTGGGGCAGCTACAGAAAAGCAAGACGGTTCAGCGTCTTATCTGCAGAATATCTGAGAATGTAAGAGTGTCAATACTAAAAATGTCTTTTCTTCTTCTTAAATAGCCTTTTAATCTAAAAATGAATAAAAGTTTTACCTAGGACATTAAAAAACAAACAAACAAAAAAACACCCCACAACACTAAGAGAACACCTTCATATCCATCTAATCGTTCAAAGCAGCCATTAAACACTCAATCTATTTTTTGCTTTCCTTACACAGCAAAGATGGTAAGGAGAACATTTCAGGACTTCTGCCTAAGCTGGTTTTAATAATATTAAGGGAAAAAGAGTTTATTTAAACTACCTAAAGGGCTTTGGAAGAGAATATTAGTGCCCAAGCTCACAAGTCTGTTTGGGAATCCCCCATCAGCACGATTATTAGCATCTTATAAGAAACTGATTCTATATCTTCCTCTAAAGATACAGTATCACTTTATTGTGCCAGTAAAAAAAAACATCCATTAAAAATATTCTAGACACAGTATGAATCCCATCCTGCTTTAAGGAATCATTAGAATTTGAACTGAGAGGATATACCCAAGTAAGGCCCCAAGCTTGAATAAGCACCATCTTAAAGTTTTATCTTGGGCCCCTTTTTGTGCTAATGAAATTACATCCTAAAGTTTTTTGAAACACTGAAGTCAAAATACAGATCCTGACCTGCTTTATAAGGAAATGTACTATTTGTGGTAAATAAATTTTAGTAGGTTAAATGCATAAAATCCACAGTAATATCTGCAAAACACAGGAAAATGCTGAACTATAGTCCCTGAAATGCCACCTATCCAGTGAGACAAAAAAAAACAGTCATTTTCAGTTGATTCTAGTTTTTCTTCTGTTAACTCCGCCATCAAAAATGCGAAGGGCAGTTGCAATACACCTACCTGATCAAGCTCTTCTGAGCTTTCAAAAATACCAAAGCATCAAATGCACCAAGAATTACTAAGGCCTCCCACAGGTTTAAAAAAAAAAAAAAAAAAAAAAAAAAAAAAAAAGAAAAAGAGGACAGTATGGGAGATTTTTCCTCCTAACAAGTTAGGCAATATCATCTCCCCTCAAACACTGAGTCTCCAAGCACCACTACCACCATCACAGCAAGCTTTTAAAGTCTGACGACAATGGGCCATATTATTTAAATTCTTTTAACTCAGCATAACAGTTTCAACGACGTAAATCAAAACATTACAGCTGGCCAGGCTGTTAGAGACAGAGCGTTTAAACTCCCTGCCTAGCGCTCATATGGGACTACTTCCACCTAACTCAGCAGCCCAGTCAGAACACTGACTCCTACTGCTTTTTTTGTTAAGCCAGAGGCATCAAATGCCAGTTCCCAACACCTGTCTGCATGGCCATGGCCCCCTTGCCCACCTGTGCTGGAATATATTTGACTTTTGTCATGGAGCATAATTCCTGTGAGTTATTTTTTGAGGCCCACATAAGAGAAGGCTGTACAGAAAAGCTTTGCTTCCAAGTTACATTCCCAAATAATAATCCTAGGAGAGCTTTACTCTCTTATCCTTAGAGCAAATTACTTTTCTTGGCTCAGGGCTTTAAGATTTTATTGCTTTTTAAGTTAGTGGTGAAAGATTTAATCACAGATTTGTTAGATTTAACCACAGGGTTTTCCAGAACCTTCTAAATTCCCACAAGAGCTGCAGTAGAAGTTCCCAACTATAAACACTACTGGAAAAATTTTGGATTTACCATGGATTTCCTTCCAGTAATCATTCACAGCTTGAGTTTAGCAATAAAGAAATCCATCATCATGCCCCCAGCAGCATATGGGAGCTCAGGCTTTTGGCAGAGGAAATGGAACAGCAATTGCCTTGCAGAACAGGAAATCAATGACTTCCCCACGAAGGGGTGAACAACAGGTTGCTCCTGCTGCGCGCAAGATCATCGATTTCCTTTTCTGCCAACAAAGCTGCTTTGCACATTCAGTGAACAAAGTCTCCATCCCAACCAGCTGGAGACACAAACCTTCCCCCAAGCCCTGCCCTTACCAATCCACTTGGGCAGCAGGTTATGCAATTTCAGCTCAGTAGACAGGGAGGAAGAAAGGAAGTGTTGGGACACCTGGTCTCCCGGACATCCTTTAGACAAATGGCTATGAGGTGTTTGATAAATGCCCAGCACAGCACTTGTCAAAATGCACCTCAAGTCTCATGGCTTGACAAAGAATTCAACTGCACTGTGACAACAGCAGGGCCAGGAACACCCTGGTAGTAGGACAGTACTGCGTATTTCCAGTAATTAGAGACCTGAGACCAGCATAAAATATTCTGACAGTGTATTTGACAGTGACCAAATTTCTTCATAACTAAACCAAAACAAGTTTATTCACACAGCCCAGAGAACCTCCCAGTATAAAACAAACATACATCCTGTTTCTGAGAGGCTACAACAGGGACTCTAAGAATTGCAATATTCACCCAAGAACTCCTGTCAAGTTCACAGCAGAGACAATCTACGAATGGAACAATTTAAAACATGCGTGTAGTCACCTAAATTCAACTTCGAGTCTGTAACTGGTATCAGAGGTCAATCATAAAATGGCAGATGGAACAGGCTTTCGGTCAATCCAGACTCGGCCGTGCTTTGAACCAGTGCTCTGAATAAGCAGCTTGTCCATTAACTAGTCATGTTTCAGATGAGAGGATATTGCTGTAGCTGTTGCCAGAGCTATGCCTGCATATTATCTCCAGTAACTGCAGACGTTAGATGCACAGATGGATCTAGCTGATGAAGTATTTGACTATACCAACCATATTTTGCAGCCTACACTGATATGACTACATGGCTAGCTGTATCTAGGCTCAGTGACTACAGATATTATAGACTTACAAGCTGCAAAACAGGGTACCAATACATTTTTAAGTCTCTAGTAGCTTCCAGATTTTCAGGGAGACTATGCTCATTTCTCTGAGCACGTTTTATATTTGTATCATTTCTTCAGTGGAAAAGGTTACACTTGTAAACTCTAAAATCTTATTTCTCTAGAGTCATTATTGCTCTAAATCAATTCAGGTCATGCTGAAATTAGTCTTGTCCTTCATCAGGGTTATCGCTCCTCCGGTTTTGCGATAATTAATATACACTTGTAGATAAATTACAACTGAAGTGAAAGACAGAAAAGAAGTAGGGTTACTCAGTAATATTTGTTCTTCTCCCTCTGTCCTCGAGTTCCATGAGAAGCCTCTGGAACTCTGACTATGCCCCAATCTGATGAATCAGCAAAGACGACACTGCTTGAAGATGTTTCCTAGAAGAAATAAGTTATCTACAAGAGATTCCTCAGTAAATGCAGGCACCACAGAAAACCCTACCTGTTTTCCTGTGAAAGGGAAAATCCTCACTCACTGTTTCCTAAATTTGTCACCTTCTTCATAGTCCATCCTAGCTGCAATAAGAATCACTTTCATCATTACGGACAGCAGCAGGCTGAATTTAGCATGGTGGAATGTGTCCTCACTGTTCATAGAGGTTATGGAAAGGTAAGTACAAAGACTGAAAACTGCTGCAGTAAGAGCTTAAAAAAAGTTAACATGATGAGCTCCAGCTTTTTCTGTATGTCCTTCATTCTAGGTTTCTGACATGCATAGCCAAAATGACACCACCACACCATGCTTTTGACTGACAAACTTAAAGCTATTATTTATCATCAATGGTAAGACCGTCATTGAGGCCAAATAATACTTCCTGATACATTCTTAAACTGATCACACATCCTAAGTACATTTTACTCTGTGGAAGGCTTCATTCTATATTTTATAGAAAAACATAGTTGTACTAATTTACTACTTTTGCCCTTTTGAAAAATTCTCCTTTCTTCACAGTGAGAATGATTTGGATGAGAACTCTTACCTGTTTTCCATCTAGTGTGTACAAGCGTTTAACCACCCCAGAATCCAGCTTGATGGCATCTGTTATATCAGTAAGAACCTGTTCAAACGAATGTGCTGTCTTCTTGTTAAGCAGAATCCGGACTGCTTTACGTGGTTTCACTCCACTCCTGATGATAGTGACTAGCTTAGGCCTAATGAAATCCTTATTCTCCTTCGCATCTGGAGTACCTCCTTTGGCAGTGGCGAGAGACGGCACTGAACGGGAAGTAGAAGTTGTCTTAACATTCACTGACCAGTTTGGGTTTACATTCTTCGTGTACTCCAGTTTCTTGAAGGGCTCTATTGAACCACATACATAGCTTTCCCCTGCAGAAACAAAAGCACCAGATGAGAACGTCAGATTGGGCAGGGGAATAATAATAATAAAATACAAAAACCCAAGAAAAACACCAAATGAAATCCTACTCAATTATTAAACATTATTCTTATGGTTCTTGATCTATAATGCATAAAATACTGATGAACTACTTTCTTAAATGTTATGGACTAAGAAAATATCTTACAGAATACTTATCAACCATTAAAGATATTATTACAAACCTCTTGAAAGCATCTGTTTTTTTTTTTTTTTTTTTTTTTTTTTTTTTTCAAAAAACACTATTTGAAGTAGGGACTGCTACTGTCAATAAGTGGCCTATGCAGCTAATCAGCTTTCCAGCCTGAGTGCATTATCACAGTAGTCCTCCAGCTTCATACTTTAATTCACACTTAAATGGGCCAATACCACCAAAACGGCAGGCCCCAAACACTTCCGAGGAAACACTATGAAACATTATCAAAAGCAACAGGTTGCAAATTAATTTCTATAAGAGAGGGATGAAAGGATATATGTTTATTTCAAGCTTTAAATAATATAAAACAGGATGCACATAAGCAAGAAGCCTCACTACTGTTCTACTGACTCTCTCTCTATATATATGGGGAAAGAAAAAAAAGCAGAGCAGAATAACTGCAGAGTTCCCTCCCACTAAATTTACCAAGAGGGAGAAAAAAACAAAAAACATATATTATAGCTCATATTTCTATCAGAGCAAATCAGAATTAACACGCCTACTTATTTCTGAGGAACTAACATAGCTAGGAAGTACCACCACATCTGCCTTCAGCATTGATGCTAAAGTGAAGAGTGAATTGGCAACTTAATTCAGTCCAACTGCAGATTGCTGCAAGACGGGCACCCTCTCCATCCCTTCCCTCATGCTTGTGTGAGGGACTGCGCTGCCAGCGGGTGAGACTGGTGATCTGGTAGAACAAAAATGCATCAATAAAGACAGAATGAATACTCAACGAGCTAGCTCATCCAGCTCACCCTGTGGCTGGGGGCAACACACACAAAAACCCGTAACACTAAATCCAGCAAGAAAGCACCTTTTGGCAGCTTAAACTGGATGACAAATAATACAAAACCCCATTCCGAAAAATACCACAAAAACATTTAAGATGTTTCAAATCTCCTAGGTTCAGTAGTTCAGCGTATGCTATAATGGCATAAAGACATTTGTGTTTGCATTTAGTCCAAGGTATTAAAACAGAAATGGGAGGAAAAAAAAAAAGAAAAAAAAAAAAAAAAAGTACTTACTATGCCAAATAGCATACAGGAAGAAGAAAAAAAGCCATCTCACATAAACTAAAAATAGATTTTGGTAATTATTCTTACCCTAAGCAACAGAATTCAGGGTTCAATACCTAGATTTCCCTTCTGGCATTCATTTTTAATATTTAAGGGCCACTTCCTCCAGCCCCACAAGAACACAGTGAATACTGGCAGACATAGGGCATTACCACAGTCAGCTCTAGTGGGAACCATTGGCACAGAAGGTCCCAGGATGCAAGAGGGGTTTGGGCCTCCACTGGCACAATTACCATGATCCCCCAAAGGGCGAGATGAGGTGGTAACTCGTAACTCCACGACCACCAGAAAGCCAGTGGAAGAACTCCAAGTAAAGAGGTCAGAGCAACACGGGAAGATGGACCATGGGACAGGAAACTGTGATGGGGGCCTAAGATCAAGCAGCACTCATAAAAAGACTTTTATTGTATTTTGTGTTCTGCTTTAAAAGAATGTTTACAAAAATAAAAGCAGGAGACAAGTGCAACATTGGAATGTTTGCTAGTAATCCTATGATTTCAAGTTACTGCACATTTCACGGTAACATCTTAAGTGTTGGGAAAGGAATCCAAGAGAGAAAGCTACGCTAAATTAATGAGAGTCTAAAAGACATTTTTTTCCCTTTTTTATCCATATATATGATGTGTATATACTGTTTGTGTACATATACACATACATATATACATACACACACACATATAAATGGATATATATACTTAGAGAAAGACAGACAAGAGGGCTTAGCAGTGGTAATGATCCAAGAGTGACCAAACAAGACATTCTCTTATTTTCTTATCCATGTCCCTTGACACTATTTTTAATACTCAACTGATAAATTACTACAAGGTAAGAAAAACATGAATGCACCCTCCCTCCCCAATGCTCCATTTATAATGGTAACATTTTTTAAAAAAATAAATAGTAATAAAGCTTTGTGCAAAAAAATGAAGATCCTAATATGAACAGAACTGCATTCAATATAGTAAATACCTCAAGTCAAAAAATCCAAGATTCATGAGATTTTAGTGTCCTCTAGGTTTTAAGAAAACTTGTCTCTATTTGAGTTGTAACTCAAATTTAAAACACACTGGAAACCTCTTTCAGGGGAAAAATATATTTGGGGATTCCATGTTATCACAGAAATTTTCCATTTATTTGCATAAAACAAGACTGTCTCGCCAAAAGTGACATCATATGAAAGCTTATTTGTCAAAAGCCCATCCTTCTGAATTTCAATTTACATTTCACTACCAACCTAGTTACTCAGAAACGAGTAAAAAATAGTTGCATCTACTGTACCCAGAAGATTGACACTAGAAGGCTTAAGAATTATTTTAGTTCCCTTTCATGAAAGGAAAATGTTTCATGTGATTTTTAATGCTACCTATATTTAAAGATCAGCTGGGTTCCTAGCAAAGGTGTAATAGCATTTGCCAGCCACTTACATTTAGCCTTTTGTGTAAGCAAATATGAAACAGCCCGATATGATCCCGGAAGCTATAGGACTGTTTTACCATCCCACTGCCTCCCCGCTCTTCTTTTCCAACAGTACTACATATGGCAACAATAAAATATTTGCACCAAGATACATTTTTTTCCTTCTTGAGAGGCATCAGATTTAGCTACAGAATTCCTCGGAGGTAAAAGAATATCCAAGGCCTTCTAGGATTAAATATCTTTATTAGGAGCAACTTTATATAGCAAAACAGAAATACAGGCACTCTCTCCCCTTCTCCCCACATCATGTCACTTCTTAAAACTTCACACTTCTTTAAGACCTCAACACTTGGCTTGAGGGAAGTTTGTCTGGGATTGTACTTGACAGAGAGGCCCAGACCTGTAAGGACATCAGTTAAAGTCCAACACCTTAAAGGTATCTCATCTTCTCTACAATCACTAAACTGTTTTACGGAAATATTCAAAGTTTAAGTACTCCTAATCCTAGAAATACTTTAGTGTAAATTCAAGTTTCCTGAACTTAAGGCCCAAGCCTCACACTGACAGAAGCCAGAAATTCCAGTGTCTGGTGCAACCCTTTAGCTCTGGTAGTGCTTGTGTCAGCAGAAAATCTCAACAGAAAGGCCAAAAAAATAATAATAATAGTAATCCTAATTTTCATTTTCACTTCTTTTTCACCATTACCTTAAGGAAGGGAAGACTGTAAAAAAGTTCTGCAGTGGACACCACTAAATTGCCTCAGTACTGCAGGGGAGGATTGCTAAGCCAACAGATCCACCCTCTGCTTAGCTCCTGCCTCCTGAAGAGCCTCTCGCAGCTGCTCCGATGAGGAGGCAGGGAGGCCTGTAGTCCTTTAGTCTCACACTACAACAAGGAAGCTTGATTCAGGAATCAGGGCCTGGAATCAAACTGCAATCAGGACAAGCCCCCAAACCATCAAATGCAGCTCTAAAACGTTCTTTTTGGCAACCTTTCTCTACCACTGTCTTTTGGACAACCACGTCACGATAGTAAATGGTGCCTGAGGTGCAGCAGAGCTGGAACCTGCTCACTGACACCACTACCAGCAAATTAGCTTCCCCAGATCCAGAGTAACAGAGAAACACACATCTGAGAGGTGTCAGAGCTTACAGTACTCTGTCACTAATGAAATCTTGACTCTTGATTACAGTATCAATAACCATTAGAATTTTAAAAAGGGGTGAAGCAGATCCAGCTATTTTGGAACACCTGAAACCTAGCCAGGGGAAAAAAAAAAAAAAAGGCATTAAACACTAATACCTCTTTCCTGACAGCCCCACTTTCCTCCTCACCTTCTCAAATCAACAATATAAATTAAACATACCCAACTTTACCCACTCAGAAAGAATAAAAGCCTTGATGTTTGTTTTATGTTTCTGAATCAGTAATCTCACAATTTAAGGTGTATGAGTACCCAACACTTACTAAAATCTAAAGTGTAACCAATGAAAATCGTGGTATTCAAAGGTTAATCCAAGACAATCCTGTAGAAGCCTGGTTTGTACTAAAAATAAAAAGTAAAATAAAACCTACTACATACAGGTATACGTCTTGCAAAAATTAATGTAGCTGAGCTAGTGGAGCCACTGAACACCAGAAGACAGTTCTCTTAGGCCATGACAGAATGTCATAATACGCTTCAAAATAAAATCACAATCAAAAAATAAAAATCTGTATAGCGAGTGGGTGCTAAGGAGACACTGAATCATTACCGGTAAATACTGGAGCTTTCCTGGCATTAATGTTTGCCTCCCTCTCTCTGATGTATTGATATTAATGTTTTCTTCAGCTTCTTAATATGCTCATTATTAGAATGTCCTCATCACTATCTCTGGAAAGAGACTATTCAGGTTGCTTGTCTGGCTAAAGACAACCTAACCTAAAATGGCTCCATGGAGGAGGTTCCATAAGCTGGCCCTTGCTGGTGGGAAACCCCAGAGAACAGATTCAGAGGCTCTTCAAATGATGCAAGCAAGCAAGGAACAGCTATTCCTTGCCGGACAGCATGACTGTCTCTTTGTTGCTTAAAATGGTATTGGTTCCTCAGCTGAGAGTATCTACTTAGAGAAAAAAAAAAAAAAAAAAAAGTTAATCTACAAGCCCACCAGAGGTGGAAGAACAGCAGCAGGCACAGCTTGTGCCTCCTGCAACCGTCATTCATTGTGGTCCATTTTCCCAATAAATGGAACAAAAACCAGATGAAGAGATCACAAAAACGGCCTGACAGCCCATCATCCAGGCAACCTCCCTCGCTTCCACCCCTCTTATTTCATACAAGCAAAAGACAAAGGAAAAACACCCTGTTCTGACAATCCCTCAACACCTTGTTCTGACAATCCCCCCACCACACACAGCCAACTGCAAAAGGAAGATGACCTGAACCAAGGAGTTATTACCTGATAGTTCCCAAATGTGTTACTTAATAAAGCAATAACCTAGTTAAACTACATTACTGGCACCTTGTCTTTCTGCAGTGTCTTGAAAAAATGCAGCACAAAAGAAATGATTATCTTGAAGAAACAAACCCACCCCACCCATTTTCGGCTAGCAATCGGATGCACAAAGAAACTTGTAGAATTTGGAATAAACTAGGTCTCATATTTTTGAAAAGATTATTGAAAGGAAGGACTTCCTTTTTTTTTTTAAAAAAAAAAAAAGGCATATCATTCTTTCTGCTCAGCTCAGACTGAAAACAAACAAAAATTCTCCCCTCTTCCAAGCACAACGAAGAAAATGAAATTGCACTGAAATTTACTTTAGGAGTAAAAAATTTCCTCGCTCTTGGTGAAGAAGATATGCAAGCAAGATATGCCTTGCAGTTGTGTTAAGAATAGCACTGGAACATACCAGGGAAGGAAAGGGAAAAAAAGAAATCAAGGGACCTTCCCAAAAATTGTTTAGGAAGACACACTGCATATCATCTGGCTAATGGGCGAATCTTCTCAAATTCATCAGATAGTCAAACAGTGCCAGAAAGTCGAACAATCCTCACCAGTTTTGTGTAACGGGATTATTCAGCTGTTTATTTATTAAACATTGTAAGAATTTCAGACATTTCTGCCACAGGATCCAGTCCAAGCTTCACTAACTTTGACAGACCTGGATAAAGTCCATGCCAAATAGCCAGCATAAATTCAGTTCCACAAACAGATGTTCACATAGATCCAGCTCTACTAACATTTAAGCAGACACTTTGCTATTATTATTTGTATATACATAAGTACCAGTATTGCACTCTTCGCAGCCCATCAGTTCCTAAATGCTGAGGCCAGCAAGACTCAGAAGAGCTTCAGCTACAGAGCCCATCAGAGAGCAGGTCAACCGCTTCCCAGGAGCAGGTGAGTCCAGCTCCTCCCAACCACGGCTGCAGCAGAGGTGGCAGCAGCAAGAACAGGAAGGAGAGGGGAAAGCAGCGGTAAGAGGAATGAGGTGGGGTAGTGAGACCTACACATAAGTGTTGGGAACTCCGTCACAGCCCACCACTTCAGCCAGGAGACGCTGCTCTGCTGGCAGGCAGCCTTCCCGCTGCGTCAAGTGTAACCTGCACTGCCTGCACTTGGAGACTTTTCAGTCTAGGCTCCTGGGGTCCATCAGCTCCTTCGGGGCAGGATTCCTGCGCCAGTTACTAGTAGCTATAGCCATTACCAGTTTTTCAAACTGGTATATTTATACTCACACAGACAGCTTCTTCAGTTGGGATTAGAGCTTTGAGATAATCCCCCAGAGACATTCATTTTTCTTTTTCAGATCATTCCTTAGAACTATTTTTAACACTAAGCCTACACAATTCATGTGCACGCATGCAAACCTGTTTAATAGTTTGGCAGTGCATCCAATATTGACATGTGACAACGCTGTTTCCTAGCACTCCTTTGCCCGTCTTGCGGTCTGGGGTTTTTTGGTTTGCCTTTGACTTCAAGTTTTCATGCTTTCAGAAGGCTTCATGCTTTGTGGGAATCTAAAGCAATTGATTCTGGTTCATAACCAAGTCTGAGGTAATATTATAATAAAAATTAACAAGAAAGGGATGCTATGGATTGATTCTGTGGTCATTGTTTCACGAAGCAGGACCCTAAGAATAACAACTGTAAATAATATCCTTTATTTTAGAGTCATTTCATACACTCCAGTTTATTATTGTTCTTAACCCAAGAACATTTAGGACTGTAACAAGATCCATCAGTTCACCTTTGTATTTGGTTTAAAGATGTTACACTAATCCTTACAAAAGCAAACAGAACTAGTCCTTTTCTGAGACCTTCTTACAACTAAAGAATTTGGGTTTGAGAGCAGCTTCCTTTTTTCATTGTTCCCAGAAGCTTTTATTACATGTTTCACCAAAGTAGAAAGGCATTTCACATTTGGAAGCCATTCTCTAATGACAAAAGGGTCCTCAACATCAGCTCTGACAAAGAAGGTAACCCAAATCCCTTGCATTCTCTCTTTAGCTAAGGTAAAAGGAGAAAGGAAGTTACCAAGTGCATCAAATTTTATACAACAGCGCATAGCCCAAGAAATACTGCATGGCTCAAGTCTTCAAAAACATAGAGGGAAGACATTAGTTTCAAATAAAAGGAAGATGTGCTCACAGACCTCAAAATAGCAGCACAAGTATATACACACACCAGCTCTGAATTGAATGCAAAGCAGAACTAAATATTATTGCTGAAAACAGCTCCTTTACAACTTTTGTTCTGCTGCTACTACTTTCACGCAGGTCTATGTACTTAGCTGTTAGATGAAAGGCAGTATCTATGGCTTCCCCAAGAACTAGTTGCTTCTCTGTCTTTATTACACCAGTAAGGGAAGGCAAGAGTAATTTTGTCACACACAAGAACAAACAAGCATCATCAAATACAGAACTTACCACATTTACATGTCAACAGAATCACTAATTCAGTCCCTCTGAAAAACACTATTATCCAAAATCATAACAGTCTTATGAAATTCATACATGCTGCTGTATGAGTTCATATAGCAAAGGAATTTCATGAACAAAGCAATGCTTCATATTCCAGTAGTTGGAGAGAAAATGTAACATGTCACTTAGCGAGAAGCAAAGATTGTGATTTTCCAGCTATTTAAACATAAAAGCAGAGCTGCAAGCTGATTAATGCTGTACCAGACTACCTAAACGCTATTAAATTTGTACAGAAAAGAGTGCAAAGGGTTTATACAAACCATCACTACCATCTTGAAGTGTCCAAAGGACAAGAGGTATTTTTATTAGAAAGATAAAGAAGAAAATCTCATAAAAACAGAAGATATCTCAAAAGACTTGTTTTTTTAACAATAAGCTCATGCCTTAGTACTGTCTTTCATTTTGACTGATTCATAAACACAGTAATATTATTATCCAGGAGGCCAAAATAAACCAGGTTTATGAGGTAACAATTTATTTCATCCTCTGCACTCATTTTTTTCCCTCCTTTTCTTCCTCAACTGCTGGTTTTGGCTAGTAGCAAAAGACTGTGCAAATCAACATTAATAACAATGATACATGCTTCTTGGTGAGCATACCAATCAAATAAACACAATTATTTATAAGGCTAATGAGAAGAAAGTATATAAATACTGTTTCTAAAACACATGCTTATTAATATTGCTCTATCCTTACAGAAATTGATTGTTTCTGCCAGTTAAATATTGCCCTAAAAAACACAGTTCCAAGACAGCCATGGAATTCAAGACATTGATGTTAATATCAGTTTCCTTTGTTTCACTAAAACTGCAGTTCTGACCCTGAAAACTCTTACTTACATGGGCAATCCCACCCCTCCAGTTCTTTTTGAACACTTTCATGTTGTTCTCTATTCTGCTTTTTAACATCTCTTTTCAAAACTTACAAAACTCCTTAAAAAGCTCTTCTCTATTGCGGTGCCTACAGCAAACAACTTGGTGGAGTCTGAATACCTGCTATACCAAGATAGGCTTCTCTTAAGAGCCTTATTCAGCATTAACATCTTCTCTCCCCAACTTACCCTACTTCTGATCCTCTCTCATAATATACTCATTCTGAAAATTCTCTCACCTGGTGTTAAAAATGAAAAGTCACAAAGAAATTATAATCCCTGTTACAAATCTAAAAAGGCTCTCCCATGACTTTAGACACAGACAGACGACACTATCAGATTACCCATATGAGAATTAACAGGCCCTCGTTTACAGGGTTGCCCAAGGCATATTGGAGCTGTGGCAGGGACACCGTAAACAAAATTGCTCGGGTAGACTTTGTTTCTACAGGACTGAAGTTATGCCCCTCTACTTCACAGAGAGGAATGACTTCAGCTACAGCACATACTCGTTAATGCTTTCAGGTCTTAGATGCTCTGAATGTTGCCAACACATGGAATGTGAAGCATCTACAAGCCAAAAGCACTTTATGCTGGAGTAATTGATAGCGCTTTATATTGCGGGTATAAGAGCCTTATTTAAAAGTAATGCTGGAATGTCATCAGGCCAGGGAAGAGGAAAAGGAAAGACACTGCAGAAGAGAAAAAGGTTGAATCTATTCAAACCATCTACCTTAGCACAGTTAAAAGGTACAACATGACTTTAACAGTATGACTACTTTCCCTCCAATACATCATGAGTGAGGAGAAGTTCACTTAAGGCAGAATTACTGGTATGGAAGAGTTTGAGCTCTTCGCTTGAGACAGAGGAATCAGAACTGACTTTCATGTAGAGGTGACAATATCTGCTTATAAGACCTATAAAAATGGCCATCGTGGACCTTGCCAAGTCTAACTGGCAAGATTTCAGAATAAGCAGTAGGTGAGGTCTTCAAGATCTAGGACTACCATCACTAGATTAACAGGGAACAGACACTTTCAAAAAGAAACAAGTAAGCTAAGGCAAGAATATTTCATAGCACAATTTAAGATATTTGTAATTCAAGTTATACTGTTGGAAATTCTTTTCCTCTATCAATACAAACAATGCCACTACTCATTTGTGGAAGACCTAAAAAAAAATTAGCAAACACTGATTCAAATAGAACTTTATACTCCAAATGTTATTGCTGACCTTCTACTAGCTGGTCCAAGGAAGTGATCTTCTTGGTGCCATCGATTGTGTAGATCGTTCTCACCCCCTGGGGCAGATTCACATTATCAGACAGAGTTCGGGTCAGATCAGCCAGCAGAGCCTCAAAGGATCTAAACCGGTCAGGGGAGATAGCATATACAATTCCTTTGAAATACCGGTCTCCGTTACGATAGAAACGGACTTTCTTAGCTTTTTTCTCGGAACTGAGGGTCTGTAGAGTACGGGTTCGGTAGAAGCTGCAGTGGGCACTGTGGGTAGGGCTGGGCAAACCATTCACCCGGGACCCTCTGCCATAGCGCTGCGCCTTGTCACGCTCATCAAAGTGCTCCAGCTCCATATCTCTCCCAAAGGACATCTTGAAGTTCAATCTAAAGGATGCGCAAGAGAAGAGAATAAGTTTAAGAACTTACAAAGTTTGAGAGCTCATTTTGAGACTTCATGTTATATACAGAGCACACACAGAAAACTTCTTTCCGAGTTCAGAAAACAGCTTCAACAAAGACATGCTACATTCACATGCTCATTTTATGGCTCTCTTGTCAGGCTGTAAAGTCTGGATTATAAGAAGTTGGGGTTTCATACACCATAGACATACCACTCATGAAACCAAATGCTTAGCAATATGCAATCAGAAAAGTAAGGGTTTGTTCAAATTCAGTAACACCTTAGACAGCAAAGCTGAACTACTGGAAAAAAAGAGCAAAGAAGTCAGCTGCCTTTTCCTCATTTTACATTAGGTGATATTTGAATCCTATTCGAAGTGACATAACTCAACTGTTCCTACCACTCCCTCAGAAGTTACCATCTCAAAAGACAATACTTGTTGCCAATCACTAAGCAATAAGAACTTCTGCAAGAAAGATATTCCAGGTTGGTAAAGAAAGTCAGGACTGTCACTAGCAGTAAACTGACTTAGGGGGATCAATCCCACCGTTAAAAAGCCCTTGCTTACTCCAATCATTGGTTTTCCAACAGCCTAACCTTTGAAATAACTTATTTCAGTTGTCCTTTTGCAAAAACTTCATATACTGTAAACCAGAAGAGGTGGTCAAATGTCAGGAAATAAATAAGAAAGGCAAAAATGGAAAAAGATCAGAAGGAATCATGAAACTAGTACTATTCAGTCAGCAAGCTACTTTACTACTTTATAAAATTACCAAATGTATTATTAATATCCCAAGACTAATATTGAGATTGATCAATGCTGACAGAGTCTTTCACCACAGGAAAACTATCACTGAAGGAGTGATAAATTCAATGTCAGCAGGCAAATTAGTGATTTATGTCTTCCATGTTTGATAGCAGCAAAAGCACTTCAGTGTGAGCAGTTCTGACCAAAATGACTGAGCGCCCAATACAGCTCACACTTCCTCAAATATACCTGCTTTCCTGCTTACCTGCTGACCAACATAAGAATAATTACTACAAGTGGGATGTTAATCATACGTAAAATGAACAAAAATAATTTAAAAAAGTCTGAAAATACGTATCTTCGAGCTTAAGAGCCACCCACATCTGCAGAACAGAAAAGCACAGTAAGTTTATTTATAGTACAGATACACAGACCTAACTTAGAAGTGGTCTTTCTCATTGATTTCCAATGAAAAGGATGAGGGGAGAAAAAAAAAAAAAAAAAAAAAAAAAAACGCAAGCACAAGCTTTCTTCAACCACTAGTAATTAGGTGACCATTAAAACAAAATCCTGACCAGCTATACAGCAACAGGAAGATATGAAGGAAAAAATAAAGAAAAAATAAAAAAAGACATATGGATACTCCTTAGCTTATACAAGCCTATTAAAGCAATGACTATACATTTGGACCCTGGTGCTGCAAAGCTGTAGGGGATACGCTCAGCAACTTCTTGGAGCTGTTCACGTGCGTAGCTGAAACGAGCACCTAGCACTAAGCTCTGCAAGAGCAAGGCCTTGGTGCCCCGGTTTCGTTACAGCTCACAGCTTATTCTCTTACACAGTACTGTGGGATCATGTGCTTATGTATATATGTAAGATATATACTTGTAAATACCTGGCTTTAAAGCTACCTGACTAATATTTACTGCCTTACATATAGGAAAAAGTAGATCCTAATCTGCACCCTTCTACATCAGAGTACTCGCACATACCACTGGTTAGAAAAACAGGGAGATTTGCTCTGGCATTTCAGTGACATTTCTCAATGGATTAAATGAAAAATATTATTTAATGGTCATGCTTAGGATAAATACTATATCACCACTATTTCTGCGTAAAACATTTATAAGTGTTTGCATTCATTTTTTTTTTCATTTATTCCAGTAAGAACCATTTATTCGGGTTTAAACCAACCCAGAAGAACTCACAATTCAAAGGCTACACCTCAGCAGCAACGCCCGACAAGAAAAAAAAAAAAGGATTTTTCCTAGATGTGCTGTTTCATTTACTCAAACCATCTCAAATACAGAAAAAAAATAATGGAAGTGTGTACAAAGACAGACTTTCTGTAGTCTTTCAGCTCAAATAATTTCGGGTTATGGGGCTGGGGAGGGAAGCAGGGTGAGTCACTGCCCTTTCTTCCACTCACTTACGCTTTAATCGATAATGGCCGTAATTCCCAACGAAGCTCTTTAAAGCAGGAATAGAGCCCTGCCTTTTCTAGGGAGCAGCGAGCTCCAAGCACAAGGTCAGGGCAGACAAAGAAATCCTAAATAATTTGATCTGATCAGATGTTTCTCCATGTGGACGTGCGTGTAAAAATATATAAATAAGAGGAACGGACACACCCCTGGAAAGCCACCGTGCCCGGTAACTCACACCCTATAGATCTGTTAGAGGCATATTTACAATGCAGGTGTGGGAGCGCGGTTACATAAATCACCCATCCGCGCCGAGGCAAAATACCTGCCGCGATACCGCTGAGTCCCCGTTCAGGACCAGTCACTACGCAGCGAACGGACCAAGTCATGGGGGAAAAGGAGGAAAAGGGAAAGAAAAAAGGGGGGAGGGAGGGAACGAAGGGAGCGCCTTAAAACGAGGGTTCCTTGCGCTGGGTGGAGGGAGGAATTGTCTGCAGCGCGGCGGGGC